CCTTAGCCTCACTTTCACCTCCCCTTACTAGCGGAACTTCTCGCTATATATATTACAGTCTCCTCGTGCTTCTCGGGAGTTGCGCGCCACCGACCCACCACGACTTGAGCTTCTCTCAATCGGTCACATTAGAGTTCCTTGTCCGCGACCGCGAGAGCAATTAAGCTACTTTCGCTATCGACGGCTCCACAAGTCTATCCGACGTTTGGTCTAGGTCCATATGTGCATGGTTCCTGAGCCTCCTATTGCGACCCAGACTCGCTTTCCAGCATAATACCGCGAAACTGCCCTCATATCCTGGCTCCAATATTTGTCTTTGATTGCGTATATGAAGAAATATCACGACATGCATTGTATGAGACAAAAGAAAGGTCTAAGAAACAGGGCGAACAACTTTTTGCGCTGGACTACACATCGCCATAGACTCGGGCCAGGAAAAGCTTTTCAAACGTCTCTACACCCGGGCTCGCAGTGACGATAGAAACCTCGAGCGTATGCGGGTGAGCCAATTCCGGGATAATGTATTCCGTAGCCGTCGCTTCGCCCTCGGCCTTCGCGGGCACCGCTCCTCCTTGTCCTTCCTTGGATGCATCATGCGTGATGCCATCCCGCGATCGAACAGCTCCGTCCACCTCTTCCGTTTGTCTGGAACAAAAACGGCCAACCAAAGCCGAACATTCGCATATCACACAGAAAAAAAAATTGTCAGTTAATCTGTCTCCTCCTTCGCATATAGAGAGAGAAGGCGGGCCTGGACTCACCGACGATCGACCACACAAGTGCCTTTTGTCCACTCGCCCGTTCGTTCCATCAAGAACTTTCTCTTCGTCAACTTCCATCGTTCCTTCCCACCCTCGTTTGTCGTTAGGCCACGGTTCGCCGCGGTGTCAATCACGTAGTACGCCGCGAGAGGGTCGTGCATGTCAAACGTATCTGTCAGAAGACCCCATGCGCGAAGGGCTTTGCGCGGTCGGCTGAGAATCGCCGTCAAAAAGTCGTACAAGACCGGCTCGCTTGTTCCATTAGCAGCATTATTAGCGTTTGGGCTACTTGAGGTGCGGATGAGCTTGTTGAAATGGATACTATGTTGTTGGGTAATATCAAGCTGCCGGTACCGTCGTTGCATACACGATAGGAGCCGGAACAGTGCGGGAGTGATGAATTTGAGCATGGGGTGTCCCATCAGAGTCAATTTCGATGAGAGGGGTGGTTGTGAAAGTGAGTGGGCGGATGGGCGCTCACCGGGAGGACGACCATCCGAAATTCCCCCTTTGTAGCCCCTCCCATCACAATCTTTGCACCATGTCTAAGCGAAGGGGAGATGAGATATCCAGAGCGCTCAATATCAGAAAGTCACGAATGAAAAGGGGCGGGGAGAGGGCGAAAATGACTAACGGGTCAGCGAAAAAGTTGAACTCTGCCGTAGCGCTCGTATTGCCTGGGACGTCCAATGCTCCGCCCATGCTCACGACCCGTGCGACCTTGCGGAAAGTCTCTGGGTCTTGCTGATATGCCAGTGCTACCGTCGTGACTGAGGAAAGGAGGGAAGAATCGAGGAAGTAAGGGGATGCATTGAGGCTGTTAGTACGAAGTGACCTGGAGATAGCTTAGCGAGCCAAGATCGGCTCACGAGGTCCAAGTGCAAGGATTGTTACGCTCCCTGCGGGCTCCTTTGCCAGAAGCTGGAGAACGGCCTCATGGCCTGGCATCTGCGTGATCGTCAGCGCTTTATCAGGCTGGTCTACATCTCCAGAGAAGTCAGGCCTGGTACGCGATATCTCACTCAAGCCATCAAAACCGTGCTATTGACAGGTAGAATTTAGGCTGTGGTGAAATCTACGAGTGACTTCCATGACAGCTGACTCACGAAGTATTCCGCTAGGTCGAGCGATCCTTCGATCGGCCGCGCAGCGCCCTTCGCCAAGATCGTCGGCGTGTCCTTTGTGAGGTTCGGGAATACCGATCTTGACGTGGCAGACTGTAGGGTCTGAGCTAAGTGCTTGCGCGCAACATTGTACACCTTGAGCACGTTCAGAAACGCGCGGTCAACGACAGTGTTCCCGAAAGTGACTGATAATGAGTCATCAGCGGGAACATGACATATGGGTCAGCGAGATAAGGAAACGGAGAACCTAGTGATCTTGAGAGAAATGCGGATAACTCGTGGCGTACCTGAGATTAGTTCTATTGATATCTCTGGCGAAGCCAACAACAGGAGAATCGCGAGCGTGTCGTCAACACCAGGCTACCGCGTTCAGAGATAACATCATTGAGCATGAGATGAGCACGCATGATGCACGGTGTGCTATACAATTTCACTTACGTCTGTATCGATGATGATTTTGTGGACCATGCTGATTGGGTGAAAGTTCTGACAGATGCCTCGGCCGAGTGGTGACTCAACGCCTCACCACCTTGGTGTCACAAGGAGGCATTGCTCAGACGTCAAACACTCGTCAAGTTTATAGCCAAGTGAGATGGATGCAAATGTAGTTGATTCGGGATGAATGCGGATTACAAATGTACAGAAGAGGTGGATTAAGCGAGACCACTGAGGTAACAGTGTGGGATTCGTAACCTCGGACTTGATACTCGACAGAGTAAAGGGGGTAGCGCAAGATAATACAGAGATAAAAGGGTATGTGGACCAAGAAAAGGGGGACGGGAGGGAGGCCGAAGGGGTTTACTTGCCACCCTGGCTCGAGGAGAACTTGGTCACCGACTTGGTACCCTCAGAGATAGCATGCTAGATATGGAATGTGGTTAATTATGAAGCAATTCCACATAATAAGTAGTTGACACTAACCTTCGACAGTTCACCAGGGAGGATAAGGCGGACAGAGGTTTGGATCTCACGCGAAGAGATGGTGCTCTTCTTGGAGTACGATGCAAGTTCTACGAGTCAAGACATGTGAGCAAGGACCTCGACCATACACATCACTACAGATTTCACGTACTGGAAGCCTCAGTCGCGATACGCTCAAAGATATCGTTGACGAAGGAGTTCAAGATGGCCATAGCCTTGTTGGAGATACCGGTATCGGGGTGGACCTGCTTGAGGACTGAAAGTGGAACGACGCGAGATAGGGTGAGCAATACAGCTAGCGCGAGGCTATCGAGCGAAACCGCGTACCCTTGTAGATGTAGGAAGAGTAGGTCTCCTTCCTGACCTTTTTCCTCTTCTTCTTGTCGCCATCAGCAGCAGGCGCAGACTTCTTGGCAGCAGTAGACTTCTTAGCCTCAGTAGCTAGCAGAACAAAAGACGCGTGTTAGACAAGCGCGTCGCGTCTGGGCGGCCAGCCACATGTCGCTAACCTTTCGATACTGGTGCCTTTCCAGCAGTTGAAGCGGGCTTCTTGTCGCCGACCTTGCCACCAGCCATTGTATATGATGTAGAGTGGGTGAGAGTGAGGTGTAAGTTGAGATTGGGGAGATTGGTCGTCGTGGACGCAAGTCAGAGGTATATATACACAAACACAGCCACTGAGCAGGCAAATGCCGGGCGGACCAAAGTAAACAAAACAACAAAACAATCGA